CAAGCCCGAGGGGGGAAGATGCGGGTGCACAAGATCAACAATGTCAACAAGGCCCTGGACTTCATCGCCAGCAAGGGGGTCAAACTGGTCTCCATCGGGGCTGAAGGTGAGACCCAGTCCTGGGGGGGTGTCACCAGCCCCCCATGTCACCATTCCCCCCAGAGCCACCAGCCCCTTGGTGCCACCAGCCCCTTGGTGTCACCGTGGGGACCCGACCCAGATGAGGCTGGAAGGGGGATCAGACCCCACGTGGGACAGGGCTCCAGATCCCAGGTTTCTTTCCATCCTGGGAAGCTCCAGGCTCACCACGATGGAGCTCAGAGGCTGCTCCTGCTCCAGGGTCACCTGCTCCCTCTGGGAAGTTCTTGCTCAACGTGTTTGTTCTGGAGCCATCGGGGCTTTTTCAAGGCTCCTTCCAGCCTTGACCCCCCTCCTTGGCATCTGGATCCACCCCCATCCTGGGGGATCTTGGGGAGGGATTTTCTGGGATGTTTGGTGACAGAGCAAAGACCTGGACACCTGCTGCTCCCATTGGAGTCAACAAATCCCTCTGGAAAAGCCAAACATTCCATCTATTGCGTTTCCAGTCTCTCTTCCCACTTCTCCAAACCAGCCCCATCAGGTGTCCCCCTTAAAACCCCAAAATTCCTGCCATTCCTTAAGGATCTTGGATTTCCCACAACCATGGGCTGTCCAGCCCCAGTTCCAGCACCATCCCAGTTGGGCCCAGACCTGCCAAAACCAACCTGGGGAAAAAGAGCAGGAAAAGCCCTTTCTTTGGGCAGTGGGATGTGGTGTTTCCCACGGGGAAGTGGCTCCTGGAGCTCCAAGGTCTCTGTGCTCCCCTGGGAAGCGGGTTCCCCGGAGCCGGAACCGCTTGTTGGGATCGTTCCCCACCGAAGGAGCCCGAGGGCAGCCCCGGGGCTCTGGGGGTTGTGCTGGGTTGGCAGCAGCTCCTCTTGCAGATCCAGTTCTGGAAGAGGCTGGAAAAGGCCCCAGTTCCCTCCCAAGTTCCATCTTTGAAGTCCTGGTGGCTCCTGCCCGGCGGGAAGGGCGGCTCTTCCCGGCTCTGCCCAGTCCTTCCCGCCTCCGGAGCGTGTCCCGACCGGTGCCGCGGGAGGAGCTGGGGCCCCACGCCCTGTGGTCATTCCCGGGGGTGTCTTGGCTCAATCCCTTCAATATCCCTCCCAAAACAAGAGCTCCAGGGGGGAGGAATATCCCGGTTAGGTGTCCAAGGTGACGCTTTCCAGGACGTCCTTGGGAATCACAGAATCACAGAATGCTGGGGTTGGAAAGGAGCTCTGAAGGTCACTGAGTCCAACCTGCCAGAGCAGGACCAAAACCAGGGCAGGTCACTCAGAAAGGCATCCAGGTGGGTCTTGGAAGCCTCCAGAGCAGGAGCCTCCACAGCCTCTCTGGGCAGCCTGGCCCAGGGCTCTGCCACCCTCTCAGGACACAAGTTCTTCCTCATGTTGAGGTGGAACTTCCTGGGCTCCAGTTTGAATCCATTGCCCCTGGTCCTGTCCCAGGGCACAGGTGACAGGAGCTTGTCCTGCCTTCTTGCTGCCCTCATGTATTGACAGACATTCATTAGATCCCCCTCAGTCTTCTCCTCTCCAGACTGAACAGCCCCAGGTCTCTCAGCCTTTCCTCAGCAGGCCAGTGTTCCAGCCCCTCCATCATCCCTGCAGCCTCCCCTGGACTCTCTCCAGTCACTCCCTGTCCCTCTGGAACTGGGGAGCCCAGAACTGGACACAAGTCTCCAAGTGAGGTCTCACCAGGGCCGAGGGGGAGGAGAAACCTCCCTTGAGCTGCTGGACACGCTCCTCCTAATGCTCCCCAAGACACCACTGGCCTTCTTGGCCACAAGGGCACATTGTTGTGCCATGGAGAACTTGTTGTCCAAGGTCCTTCTCCACGGGGCTGCTTTCCAGCAGGTCACCTCCTATCCTGTCTTGGTCCCTGTTCCTCCCCAGGTGCAGGACTCTGCTGGTGTTGAACCTCCTCAGGTTCCTCCTTGCCCAGCTCTCTAGCCTGTCCAGGGGGGTGTTTGATGCTTCAGGGGGGGGTTGGTGGGGCTGTGTCCCATCCAGGTGGGACATGGTGGGACACAACAGGTCCCTCCAGGCCTGCTGAGGCAGAGCTGGGCAGTGACACCTCCATGTTGGGGAAGATTGGGAATGTTGGGATGTTTGCTCTGGGTCTGGAGCTCCTTGGGAACAAAAGCCATGGAACTGTGGGTGCATCATGAGCTTCTTCTGCCCTTCTGGAGCAGCAGGATGAGACACATTTGGGACCAGCCCAAATTCCTGCTCCCAGGAACCTCAGGCTTCCCCTGCTCCCAGCTCTGGATTCCCCTGGGAAATGGGAAGGGCAGGAGCTCAACTCAGGTTCTCCCCTTGCAGAGATCGTGGACGGCAACGCCAAGATGACTCTGGGTATGATCTGGACCATCATCCTCAGATTTGCCATCCAGGACATCTCGGTGGAAGGTGAGGGGATGGGATGGGTGGGAGCAGCTCCGGAGCAGCGATCCCATCCAGCTCCAGTCTCACTCCAGTCCCACTCCAGTCCTGCTGCAGTCCCCACTCTGGACCCTGCTCTGGTCTCACTCCAGTCCTGCTCTGGTTCCCACTCTGATCCCTGCTCTGGTCACCACTCCAGTCCCACTCTGATCCCACTCCAGCCCTACTCCAATCCCACTCTCATTCCCACAGAGACCTCTGCCAAGGAGGGGCTGCTGCTCTGGTGCCAGAGGAAAACTGCTCCCTACAAGAACGTCAACGTGCAGAACTTCCACATCAGGTAAAGCTCAGGGATCTGCTCCATCCCTGGGGCACAGGGGGTGCCCAGGGAGGGCACAGGAAGGGTTGTTGCTCCCTGGGAATTCCAGGCTCTGCAGGTTCCAGGGGAAACCTTTGGAATGGCTGGAAGGGGAAAGCAGAGCTTGGGGTGGGGGTTGAACTGTGGTGGCACCTGAAGGGTCCGTCCCTGCTCCAGGGGGATCCCAGGGCTGGAGGAGGAGGCACAATTTGTCCTGGTGGGTTTAGTGGATCTAGGGGGGGACTGGAGGGAGGGATCTGGGTGGATCCAGGCTGGGAACCAGGTGGATCCAGACTGGGATCTCTCCCACAGCTGGAAGGATGGCCTGGCCTTCAATGCCCTGATCCATCGGCACCGGCCGGAGCTGATCGAGTATGACAAGCTCAGAAAGGTGACACAGGGAGTGGCCTGTCCCCATCCCTGTCCCACTCCCCATCCCTGCTTCTTTTCTCCTCTGATATTCCAGTTTGGAGCTGGGGGGAGGGGAGTGGGACTGTTCCCCTGTGCCCCCTGTCCCCTTGTCCCCCTGTGCACCCTCCAGCCCCTCACCAGCTGCTCTGCCCCCAGGATGACCCGGTGACAAACCTGAACAACGCCTTCGAGGTGGCTGAGAAGTACCTGGACATCCCCAAGATGCTGGATGCAGAGGGTAAGATCTGCCAGGGCCAGAGGGAACCTTGGCCTGGATGGAAGGTCCACACCCTTGGACACCATGTCAGCCTCACTCCAAGCTTCTCCCTGCATCTCCAGCCCCTTTTGCTCCTGCATCTCCAGCCCCTTGTGCTCCTGCATCTCCAGCCCCTTGTGCTCCTGCATCTCCAGCCCCTTGTGCTCCTGCATCTCCAGCCCCTTGTGCTCCTGCATCTCCAGCCCCTTGTGCTCCTGCATCTCCAGCCCCTTGTGCTCCTGCATCTCCAGCCCCTTGTGCTCCTGCATCTCCAGCCCCTTGTGCTCCTGCATCTCCAGCCCCTTGTGCTCCTGCATCTCCAG